GGCAATTTGAGTAAATACCCAGCTAGCACATAACATGCTGAGAACCATGTTTCTTAGAGCTTGGTGAGAGCGTGGTTGTCCTATGGTTATTTTGCATACAACTTTCCCACAACTTTCTGGGAATGGTGCAGGATAGTTGCTTGGCTTTGGAACATTCTCAGCACATTTAAGGAACTAATTATTTTCTTGGTATTTCATTACTTTAACAGAACGTTTCCTAAAAGTGGTTACATTTCATTTTGGAAATGTTCTAGGAACACTCTCCAACTGGTTTGAGGTTGGGAATGTTCTCGAATAGTTCAGAGAATGTTAAGAAACATATGTTCTTCTGTGCAAAGTTTAGTACTTCAGCATAACGTTTCCCACAGGTTTCCTCATGGTTCTATTGAAAGTAATGTTCTCAAATTGTTCCGAGAACATTAAGAAAATGTTCCATAAAAAACACAAGAAAACTTTAGTAACGTTCAGAGAACATTCTAGATTTTTTATTTAAAAACATATACATTCTGTTCTCAGCGTCAACAAAACTCTCTCTATCCTCTATCTTGTTAAGTGTGTTCAGGTGTGTTGGCCGCCGCCCACTAATTGGCCACACCTGATCTTAATGAGTGCTTGTTTCCTTTGAAATGGGGTCTGTTTGAATAGCTTAAAATTAACAACTTTGTATGAGTTTAAAAAACATGTCAAACTAGCTCCATCCTGGTGACGCAGTGGACTAATTACATGGCTAGAGAACAGAAAATCATAGTTTCGAATCTCACTGATGCCATGCCACAATAAAACAATTAATTTGTTTGCATGATTAATGCCTAAGCAAATACATTTCCATGTGTCCTATCTGTGCTTGGCATTCAAAACAGTTAACCCAAACTAAGCTAGCAGTGTTAAGTCTTATTGAAACATGTTCTCAGAACGTTATTTAATTACCTTCAAATGACCTATAATTTCCGTGTGAGACTTCCTCCGAAGCTGACTCCTCTCCTTGTTCAGGCAGGCTTCGGCGTTCGTCGTCACCGGCCTTCTAGCCACTGCCGCTCCTCATCTCATCATTCCATTTGTTTTGTCTTGTCTATTACACACACCTGGTACATATCCCCTCATTTGTACATGTATAAGTGTTCCCTCTGCCCGCTTGTCTTTGTGTGTGATTGTTTATTGTGAAGGTTAGATTAGCTCGGTAGAGCTCTTTGTATTTTGTATCGCCGGGATATTTCACCCGTGTGCCTTGTTGTTTCCAGTGTGCCTGATTTCCTCACTGGAGTGTTTGACGCATTGCTGCGTACCGCTGTGTTTTCGGAAATAAACCTTTTATTCTGTGATTTACTCTCCTGCGCCTGACTCCTTCAAAATCACTCACCACATTCCGTTCTCAGAAAGTTAATTCAACCTCCCAGGAAAACTTTCAGGGAACCATAGTAAAATGTTCTCAGAACTTCCCTGCAACCTGTACGTTCCCGGAACAGACAAAATTCATTCCCATTCTCAGAACGTTTTTAAAAAAACGTCAGTTTTACTGGTTAGGAAACATATTGCTTCGTTCCCAGTACCAATGGTAACCAAAAATCTACGTTCCCAGAACTTCCAATGAACCAAATGTGCTAGCTGGGTATAGGCCAGGATGCAATCCAAGGGGTGTTATAAAGCATCACACTATAACAGACTTTTTAAGGTAATTTACTTTTGAGCCGACATGCTTTTACCATGTCTCTGCGAATGTTTGGGAAACGTCTTTAAAAGGCCTATTGTCGGCTGAATAGCCATTTCAGGACAGTGGGTACCTATACACCTGCAATACGCTGCATTATCATCTCATGTTCTACAGAATGTTCAAGAAAATCAGATGTTCTGAACTGTACTGTATTTTAGACAGCTGTCCTTGGGTCAATATGAAATGTATAGGGTAGGAAACATCTAATGAACCCTTATTCTCTAGACTTTCCGTTTCCAAATCCCCTAAATTAAGATATTATCTTTAGCCAAGAATAGCCAATGTTCTGCACACAGCTATTATTAAGCTTACACCATAACACAATCCCCACTGGAGGGTTGCTGAGGTGTACTGTAGTAAGGATTCGCTGGGAAGAATCCATTGTCTTAAAGATTTCCACGAGAAACTGTCACTAAGCCACCCAGCAGCCAGGTCAATGTCATGGTGGTATAGTATCCATTGGGGCTTTGAGAGTGACTCTCCATTTCATTTGTTGAAAATGTAATGCCACCACATCTGTTGGAATGCCTTTCTCACTCACTCGCACTGGAGTGGCAGATGTAGGATATACAGTGAGCTCCAAAAGTATTGGGACAGTGACAATTTTGTTGTTGTTTTGGCTCTGTACTCCAGCACTTTGGATTTGAAATTATACAATGACTATGAGGTTAAAGTGCAGACTGTCTGCTTTAATTTGAGTGTATTTTCATCCATATTGGGTGAACCGTTTAGAAATTACAGCAATTTTTGCACATAGTCCCCCCATTTTAGGGGACCAAAAGTATTGGGACAGATTCACTTATATGTGTATTAAAGTAGTAAAAAGTTAAGTATTTGGTCCCATATTCATAGCACACATCGAGCTTGTGACTCTACACATTTATTGGATGCATTTGCTGTTTGTTTTGGTTGGTTTTAAGATTATTTTGTGCCAAATGGAAATTAATGGTAAATAATGTAGTGTCATTTTGGAGTCATTTTTTATTTTAAATAAGTATACAATATGTTTCTAAACACTTCTAGCTGAATGTGGATGCTACCATGATTAGGGATAATCCATAATGAATCGTGAATAGTGATGAGTGAGAAAGTTACAGACACACAAATATCATACCCCCAAGACATGCTAACTTCTCACCATTACAATAACAGGGGAGGTTAGCATTTGGGGGGGAGTATGGTATGTGTGTGTCTGTAACTTTCTCAGGCATCATTATTCACGATTCATTCAGGAAAAATAAATGCTGTAATTTGTGCATCTCTGAAAATAGCGATATATACTCAAATAACCTGGCCTATTATTAATGTTCCTTGGAAAATTTATTGACCAGACAAATAACAAGTTAATGAATTATTCAACAGTATTGCTAGTAGCAAGTCTGTGATGACAATGATTCTTATAAATGTATAAATGCTGTCTAAAATATCATAAGCCAAACTCTCAACTCTGTTTCTTGTTTTTGTTGTCATTTCAGTCAACAGTGTATAGTTTCAAAATATGTTAACTGTCATGTTTATCTCATGGACTCCTATGTATTTGAGTGGTTCCCCAGCTTCACCCCTCAGCTTATCAAACAAAATGGCAAGGTTAGGCTGTTTAACTTACAGATGGTGCTTTTAATTTACAAAGACTGGTTCAATCTGTATCGCTGAAATTTCAGATTGAGCCGACATATGCAGCGTTTACCGCGAATGCAGTCTCTGCTAAAGCGGGAACATCGCCTTTATATTTCAATCACCCTGTAACGCCGAACTTCAGCACTACGGATTGAATCCAGCCCTGGGTTAGGATTAGGGATTGATTTCACTCTTTTCAGCATTGGCCGGTCTCTCCTTAAATTTGGGAGGGGCTGAAATTAAGCATCTGCAAGTTACCATACCACCATTGTCTTTGAGTGTCCTGAAAGGCGTCTGCCAAAAAAAAGTATTATAAGTCTCTGTTCTCAGCAATTGATGCCATTGTACTTTTTTATGCTGTTCAATGTCATCATCCATCTCTTATGATCAGACCGTAAGTCAAACAGTACAAGGATTACTAAATGTAATCAAATTGATTACATTTAGTCATCTTGTAATGATACTATTAAATACATTGTCTTGAATACAAGCATGATTGTTCTGTATTTGCATTTCATTGTATGCATTTGGTATTGATATATGTTGCCTATAACTGTTAGGGCTTCAGCACTGTGATCACCTCTTCAGAGGGAAAGAGCAGCAGTGTGGGAGGGCAATGGGCTTCCACAATACCCAGCTGTGGCAGGTCAGTGGCGAGTTCAGCGCATGTTACTTCAAGGTGTGTGACCTGACTTTGGTCCTCGCTCAGAGCTCTGGAATTGAGGTTTGAAGTTGGTCGGGGGCGAGGCATGCTGTCTCGTTACCTTTATCTTTTGAGCGGTGGGTTTGCTGCATGCAGTGTGGGGCTGAGCCCTATCTATTATTGATATCAAAGTCTTTGAAATGCTCACATGCACAGGTGACTCCAAAGTCATGGGCATTTGGTTTTTGTGGACTGTTTGAAGCTTTGATGGTGAGGTATAAGCAAACATGAATTAGTCATTATTTTGAGTTGCTTATTAGTATCCAATCATTTGTATTATATTTTAAGAAAAAAAGTATACACAGTTTTATAATCAGTTTGAGATATATCTGTGTTGTAGCTAGCTACCCATATCAGGAGTACATACATTTTGATAGGTAAGTCAAGATAGTAAATGAAGGCTAATTGTAACCTATTTTAACATTTGAAAAAATAAAATTTGAACAATAGAAGCAACGTTATGAAACTGAGACATTTGGTTGTCTGGGTGATCGGGGATAACTTGAGTGGGAATCTCGTATGCACCTCCTCTCGACAACAAATTATACATGCAGTCGGGAAAGGAGGGAGGCTCGCCTGAGTAGCGCATCACGACTTAGTTCAAAAAGGGTGCTGCCTGTGTGTGTAGGGTAGACTGCAAGGGATGACAGTGAAGCGAGCATCTGCACATGCAACAGCAGACGACTGTAGACCTAGTGTTTGTTCTTCGTCTCTCTTTTATTATAAGATTTGAGATAATAAGATAAGACAGACAGAGGTCTCAACAGCGGTAAAACGGGAAATACAAAAAAAATCGCGCCTGTGTGTAGTCCACATGTGGGGAGCGCCTCTAGTAAAGCATCATAGTCGAGGTTTAGACGCGAGATGGAAAAACAGGGGGTTCCCCAATAGAACGACTGCATTGAGGAGAATTGATAGGCGAACTTGTTTTAAAAGTCTACTTATTTGATGTTGACCAAGCTTGAATCGAAAATGGTTCAGAACGTGGTTCTGGTATTTTTTCGCAGGAGACTCAGCCAGAGGCCGAACGTTGAGGAGTTGGAAAGCCGGAATATCCTAAAACGTGAGTTGTAAAACTGCCTTTTTATTTTAATTTCTGCCCTTTTTATGTTTCTTTTCATTGAGTAATGTGAAATTCATGCGCAGGTCCTAAATGAATCTACCAAGGTAGACAATACATAAATGTATTATGATACACACATTCACTCGTTCAAAATTCAGGAGAGGGAAAGGAGCACATTGTCTTCCAACATACCTTGAGACTTGATGTTGAGAAATTCGTTTAGAAAACTGAGCAACAGCACATATTATTTTGGGCAGGCTACAGCCTTGTGTTTCTCTTACATAAGCATTTTAATTTTGAGATTCAATGGGAATTTGGATCTGACAAGATTTACACTTGTGTAAAGAATTATGTTTAAAATGTTCAAATATACATATATATCCCCATGGATTAGACTTGATTTGTAATATCTGAAGCCTAATCTGTGTCTCTACAGTCAAACTCAGTGGGACACTGGTATTGATTTCATAATCATTCACCAGTAGATAAGGTTTAGGGTCAAACAGTGACATCACTGACATGTGGATTAGGGGGAAAACTGATGAAAACCAGTTGAAAACAAGTGACATGATGACATCATTATTGGGGAATGTGTTTGCCAACCTCTCAAGTGTTCTTATCAGTGTCTTTGTTGTAGTCCTATCACTAATTGTATTATTCTCCTTGGTTTAAAGAGAGAAATGACCAGACAGAACAAGAGGAGAGGAGGGAAATCAAACAGCGGCTCAACAGAAAGGTATATTACACTATTATTACAGTACTTAGTTACTAAGTATTATTATTATTTTATTGTTATTATCAATGTAATAATACACTAACCGTAAAGTACACTATGCAGACATCCCATTTCTCCTGACTGAAGTACTTGTTCTGTTTTTGTACTTTATTTCATGCTGTACACTAGTTGTATCGTTCTTTTGGGATGTGCTCTGGATAAGAACATAATAAGACACCTTGTATAAGGCTACTATGGCAAAATCGTTACTTTTATGAGAGAAGCATTATGATGCAAAAACCACAGATGAATACAGGAATTTCAGCTAAATTCAGTCCGTTGTGTATTTCAGCTCAATCAGCGGCCCACAGTCGACGAACTACGGGACCGAAAGATTCTCATCCGTTTCAGCGACTATGTTGAGGTGGCCAAAGCTCAGGATTATGACAGGAGAGCAGACAAGCCCTGGACCAGGCTTTCGGCAGCCGACAAGGTGTGTGTGTGTGTGTGAGAATGTCAACCGTGTCAAAAACAAGGATCCTTCGACTGCATCTCTTATATTTCACATTCCACACAAAATTCATGATTCCCCACTCAAATTGCAAAGTGACTGGCACATACCATTTTTTGAGCATTTTGTGATGTGGGTTACATTGCCTATTTATTGCCCTGGCTGCCATCTCCATAGAGCCAGAATGTCTCACTGTTTTCTAGCTAGCTTCAGCTTTTTCTCTCACAAGACCTTGTCATTGTCGTCTTTCTGTGCTGAGTTTCGCAGACCGTGGGTTGATGCGTGCGTGGTCCGCCTCCGCTTAAGGATGCTCTCTAGTCTAACCCTCATTTTCTTCCTCTGCAGGCGGCTATCCGAAAAGAGCTGAACGAGTTCAAAAGCACTGAGATGGAGGTGCACGCCTCAAGCAAGCACCTTACGAGGTCAGTGTGTGTTGTGTGTTTGCTTCTATTCTCGGCTGCGGTTCACTCTATTTTTAGCTCCCCTTACATGTCTAGAAAAGGTCCACAGAGCTAAAGATAGATGCGTAAAATGAGAAGGAGGGGAGTCCTTGCTAACCTTCCCCGCGGCCTGATATTGGCAAGAGAAATGACAAATGCTGTCTGTCCCCAATTAAGTGTGTGTGGTAAACGAATGTCCTCCAGTCGATTTGTACCAATGACCTAGGGAGACAGCAGCCCCCTTCCCCCAGTACACATAGCCGTGCTAAAAATAGCCTCACAAGATTGATGAATAGCTGTAATCATAACTGGAGTGATTACAAAGGCACCTTCTGCGCTCATGATTCTTCCTCCCCCTCACTCTTCCCCCTCCCTTTCCTTCTGTAGGTTCCACAGGCCATGAATACGAAGGGGAGATACTTCTGTGAAGAAATAATGCTGAGCCTAGAATTTTCGGTTGCTGCGTCGGCGGCGGTTAGAAAACTGCCGGAGCACGTAAGCCATTCTTCCAGAGCCCGGTCCTTTATCTGCAGGGTGTCCTCGATTCCTCCAGCACGCCCCTGGCCTTCATCGATAGGAGGGGTGGACGGATGGTGATGTTTGGGCGTGTGGCAGTGAATCCCAGAGGCTGTCTTCCCACTGTGGGAGCTGCCTGGAGGCAGAAGACTAAAGACGGAATCTGGGACTCCGTCGGTCTGTCTGCCCATCGGTTAAGATGGAGCCGAGGGAAGAACAATTTACTTCGGTCTGTGTGCGTGTGTTTTTTTTAACAGTCTTCTTTGAGAAGGTGGCAAATCCGTACAGGGAAGATGACGTTGTGCCTGTGACCAGCTTCACCTTTTACATTTTTTAAAATAACATGTCACATGGGGGGGGGGGGGGGGGGGGGGAATTGGGGATGGCGAGGGGGGATGGCGAGGGGGGACGACGATGACGACTGTGTGGTCGGTCAGGGGTAAATTTCATACCAACTGTATATATGTCAATCTGAACCGGACTGTCAATGTCTTTACTGAAAATAGAAAACCTTTATAAGCACTACTTGACTTCAAAATACAAGGTCTTTAAAACATTGTTTTGCCTCCTCTTATTTTTGGTAATCAGCATATTTTTAATAAAGCAAGTATTAATAAAAGGATTGCTAGGCAGCTGAACAGAGAGCAAAAGTAATGGCGTCTTTTTTAGGCACTAACAGAGGCTAACGCCGCCATGGCTCGTTGGCCAAAGCCTATGAGGACATTAATGTTTTTTTGGGTTTTTGGATAAACGCCGAAAATAAGGTCTGTGGTAAACACAGGTTTAGGAGATCTTATACGTTTTTTTCTATGAGATAATCTTCATCAGCTAACATAACTTTTTGTGAACTTTTAAGCGTTTATGTAATCAAATCAAGCTCATAAAGGCTTCATAATTCATAAAAGTAATGTTAACTGACTGATACTGTATTATCTCATAGAACAAAACATCTAAGATATCCTAAGCCTGTATTAACCTCAGACCTTAATCTCGGCGTATATCCCAAAACCCCATTCTTTCCCCATTAATTTCTCCCATAGGAATGGCCAACTAACTGGAGGTAGAAAATGCAAACTAATTTCAGTTTTTTAGGACTACAAGCTGGCGAGCTCTATATGTAAAAGTAAAGCCTCAATCCAGCCTTCCCCTTTGTGTTGCTCAGAAAGTAGTCAGGTACAGTGGTAAGCAGAGTGAATGTGAGATTCATGAGTCTGGCAATTTGAGATTAAATAAAGCATAACAGTTACTCAGCAAAGGACACTCAAACTGATACTCAAATGGATATTTGTCCATTGGAATAACGTGAATAAGTTGAAGTACTACTTTCATATTTCCCTGCCAAGTAAGGTAGTTTAGTTTATCTGAATTCACTTTATAAAACATTTAAAAAGTGAAATAAACTTCAGGCAACCTTAACAGCAGACATGCCATTCGAACAATTTTCATAGAAATGCATTATTTATTTTGAAAATACTACTCGTAGTGAGAGACGGTTAAAACCATAAAAAGCTATTAACAGTGTCAAACATCACTGCAATAATCAACTCAGCAAAAAAAGAAACGTCCCTTTTTCAGGACCCTGTCTTTCAAAGATAATTAGTAAAAATCCAAATAACTTAACAGATCTTCATTGTAAAGGGTTTAAACACTTTCCCATGCTTGTTCAATGAACAAGACACTTACAGACGGTAGGAAATTAAGGTCACAGTTATGAAAACTTAGGACACTAAAGAGGCCTTTCTACTGTCTCTGAAAAACACCAAAAGAAAAATGCCCAGGGTCCCTGCTCATCTGCGTGAACGTGCCTTAGGCATGCTGCAAGGAGGCACGAGGACTGCAGATGTGGCCAGGGCAATAAATTGCAATGTTCATACTGTGAGATGCCTAAGACAGCGCTACAGGGAGACAGGACGGACAGCTGATCGTCCTCGCAGTGGCAGACCACGTGTAACAACACCTGCACAGGATCGGTACATCCGAACATCACACCTGCGGGACAGGTACAGGATGGCAACAACAACTGCCCGAGTTACACTAGGAACGCACAATCCCTCCATCAGTGCTCAGACTGTCCGCAAACTGCTCAGAGACGCTGGACTGAGGGCTTGTAGGCCTGTTATAAGGCTGGTCCTCACCAGACATCACTGGCAACAATGTTGCCTATGGGCACAAACCCACCGTCGCTGGACCAGACAGGAATGGCAAAAAGTGCCCTTCACTGACGAGTCGTGGTTTTGTCTCACCAGGAGTGATGGTCGGATTCGCGTTCATCGGACTGAGCTTGTTGTCATTGCAGGCAATCTCAACGCTGTGCGTTACAGGGAAGACATCCTCCTCCCTCATGTGGTACCCTTCCTGCAGGCTCATCCTGACATGACCCTCCAGCTTGACAATGCCACCAGCCATACTGCTCGTTCTGTGTGTGATTTCCTGCAAGACAGGAATGTCAGTGTTCTGCCATGGCCAGCGAAGAGCCCGGATCTCAATTCCATTGAGCACGTCTGGGACCTGTTGGATCGGAGGGTAAGGGCTAGGGCCATTCCCCCCAGAAATGTCCGGGAACTTGCAGGTGCCTTGGTGGAAGAGTGGGATAACATCTCACAGCAAGAACTGGCAAATCTTGTGCAGTCCATGAGGAGGAGATGCACTGCAGTACTTAATGCAGCTGGTGGCCACACCAGATACTGACTGTTACTTTTGATTTTGACCCCCCCTTTGTTCAGGGACACATTATTCAATTTCTGTTAAGTCACATGTCTGTGGAACTTGTTCAGTTTATGTCTCAGTTGTTGAATCTTGTTATGTTCATACAAATATTTACACGTGTTAAGTTTGCTGAAAATAAATGCAGTTGACAGTGAGAGGACGTTTATTTTTTTGCTGAGTTTACATAAATTAATTCATAAATATAACAATTATATATTCATATCATATAAATTAACATTTGCTACTTTTTAAATAATGCATGTATATTTCTTTAAGTTATGCTCAATATATTTCATTGATCGCAATTAACGTAGAATGACAAGCAAACTTAATGGAACACAAACATATCTTATAAATGTGCAGAGGTACTTGATTTGGGTTTAGAACCTCGATCCCTCTGGCAGGAAAAGAGCCTGCAGTCCTCTCCTCACACTCAGTATGTCCTCGTCTTGCTAAAGGGAGAGACACACAAAACATAGCGCTCAAATACACTCGCAACACCTCAGGGTTTGCAGTCTCAGTCTGAGCTTGTATAGTCAGCACTTTGAGTATGGCTTGCAAAAGAAGGACCTCTTTAATGCCGCGTGAGTGGAAAGAGAAAATTGTTTTTTGTCTCTAACCTAGTCACGACTGTCATTTCCACTCACAATCTCCTTGAAGAGTCTGTCCTGAACATGTCTTTCCTCATCAAGCACATCTGAAAACAGCGAGTGACAAAACGCTTTATAAAAGGTTTGAACTCTTCACAGTGCCACACGGAGTAGACAAGAGAAAATGACGATAAGCACAATGCCATACTGCACAACATGGGATTGCTATCCTATTGCTTAAAACTGAGCTCAGATGAGCAGTCTTCAACAAAAAAGTAGAAAAAAAGAAGCTTTATTCAGTGTAACGCGTAAGCCTGCGAGACAAATAAGGAATGCACATAGGTCAAATTACAAGGTGACATGTACTGTAGTTTTTGTAGGTTCCCACTGGGCACAAACTGGTTAAATCAATGTTGTTTCAATGTAATTTGTTAATGTATTCTGTTGTGGAATCTACGTGGAAAATGTATTGGATTTGAAAAAAGTAATCAACTGTTGTTTTGAGGGTAGAATTTCAACCACAGGATTATGTCATCATGGTAACACATTTTCAACATAGACAAACCTTGTGTAAAATATGTTGAACTGGTACCTTTAAAACAACATCAGATCTTCAAATGTAATATCCACTATAACAAAAAAAACAATAGGCTGGGCAGCACCTCCTACTGGAGAGTTGATCTATCTACAGCTATCCCTTCGGTCTCCCATCCACGGCTTTAACCTTTGTCACTGACTATTGCCAATGCGCTATCGTGAGAAAGAGTGTTCAAAAATCTACACTGTCGCTATCGAAGTCATTCCAGCATTTGGGAAGATATCAACAGCAGTTTTTTTAAATTAACCATATCAATCATATATCATCAATGATGCTATTTAGGCCTACAGTATATACAGTTGAAGTCGGAAGTTTACATACACCTTAGCCAAATACGTTTAAACTCAGTTTTTCACAATTCCTGACATTTAATCCTAGTAAAAATTCCCTGTTTTAGGTCAGTTACGATCACCACTTTATTTTAAGAATGTGAAATGTCAGAATAATAGTAGAGATAATTATTTATTTCAGCTTTTATTTATTTCATCACATTCCCAGTGGGTCAGAAGTTTACATACACTCAATTAGTATTTGGTAGCATTGCCTTTAAATTGTATAACTTGGGTCTAACGTTTCAGGTAGCCTTCCACAAGCTTCCCACAATAAGTTGGGTGAATTTTGGCCCATTCCTCCTGACAGAGCTGGTGTAACTGAGTCAGGTTTGTA